CCTTCACTGCCTCCCTGAGTTTGCTCAGTTTCATGCTAAGAACACTATAAATGTAGAAACTATGAAATATGACCTATTTATCATAAATGAATGACAATGAGCAATTTTGTCAGAGTAATAGGAAAAAAATTGAAGAATGATTCATATTTTATATGTCAAACACAGTTCTGTCTATTTGTTAGTAATACACGGAGTCGTCCTTTTTTCTTTCTTTTTTTTTTTACAGCAGGAGACAGACAATATATGAAGACATGGATTAGCCACATCGTTCATTCCTATTTTTTCAGCAGGCAGGAAATGTGAATGTAGCTATCTTTCCTGTCCTAAAACTCTAAGCTTCATTTCACATACGCAGAGTTTCTCCTTTTCCTTTTCAGTGCAGATTCAAATGTATATGTTATTTAGCGCATGATTCCAAGTAGTGCAATTAAGCAAGTAAAACTTCTTACAACGTTGATGTAATTATTTTATTTTAATCATGAATCTTTGGGTTGAATTTGATTACATAAAAGAATGGCTTTCCTCATTCTTACACCTTTTATAGAAGGTGCCTTAATAGAAATAACATCCTCCCTGAGGGAAGTTGGGAGCTGCCTTTTTATAAATTGCTACTTACTACTTGCAGATTTTATAAGGGCTCATTAATTTATTGAATGTTATAATTTTAAATATGTTTTTCAGAAGTAAATCTGATAAAGAGTTCAGCAGGGGTTATTTGCGAAAGAGGTTGGTTAGGATTGCCGCTTCTGTGATTTATAGCTGAGCTTCTAAAATGCCTCCAATTGGAATCTATAGTTTCTAAGGTAGGGTTTTTTTTGGCGGGGGGTGCCTTCAAGTCAGTTTTTGACTCCTGGTGACTGCCTGGACAAGGGACAAGTCCCTGCAGTTTTCTTGGCAAGATTTTGGAAATGGTTTGCCCTTGCCTGCTTCCTGCGGCCGAGAGAGAGGGACTGGCCCAAGGTCACCCAGCTGGCTTCGTGCCTGAGGCAGGACTAGAACTCAGGGTCTCCGGGTTTCTAGCCTGGTGCCTTAGCCACTAGATCAAACTGGCTGTCAAGGTGGTATTAGAGAACATAAAAATATTCCACATAATATTTGACCTTTGGCTTCTTTTTTCCCTATTTGAGTGATAATCTGATCTTGCAGACCCAAAGTGAGTAACATACAGTATGCAGATGAACTTGTGCTCAGTAGCAACTGAAACTCAAAGGTTCAATTCTCCTCAAAGCTAAGGTTGCTTTGCATATTTGATGGCCAGAATAAGAAATTGCAAAGTAAAAAACTTACTTTTGTGCTTATAGCAGCCAACTTAGTCATTGGTAAACAATGGGAATATCTGGATAATATTTCAAAGGATAGATGGAATGGTGAGATCTGGTCTATAGCTTTATTTGAAAAAGTATCTAATAAAATCCATTCCGTAATAACCCAAAGTAGCGAATCGTTGTTTTATAAGGAATGGTGGAATGTCATTCTTACCATTTCATATTTCTTATATAATCATCCTGGAAACAGCTTATTTCAAACATTATGGGCATATTAAAATTCAATTTAAAAAAAAATCAGGGTAGGCATAGCTGAAAATATTACCAATTTTCTATACAACATGAACAATATTTATCTATTGCTTCTTTCTTTTAGGTACTGAGCCTCATCCTCTCTGATGTCATTGGGGATCCATTGGACATTATAGCAAGTGGCCCAACTGTTGCCAGTTCTCACAGCATGCAGGATTGTTTTCGAATACTGGGCAAGTATGATATATTGAATAACTTGCCAGAGTCTGTGTTGACAGTCCTCTCTAGTTCTGTCACAAAGCATAACACTCAGCAAGACTATTCCCATGTCTACAATGTTGTGATTGGATCCAACAGACTAGCTTTAGAGGAAGCCAAATGCCAGGCAGAAAAGTTGGGTTACCTGACTATACTTTTGAGTGATGCTGTGTGTGGGGAGGTCAGCACTGTTGCCCATCTCTATAGTCTATTGATTCAGTTTGTTTGTTTGAGTGTTATGAAAGATGCTGGGAATAGACCTTTAAAAGATTCTGTGAAAGAAATGCTCACAAACTTTGCAGGACAGATGAAGATTCCAGTCTTGAACCTTATAGACACTCTAACAGCTCTGAAAGAACCCCATGCGGAAACCCCCATTTGTCTTCTGGCAGGTGGAGAAACCACTGTGCAGCTTCAAGGAAGTGGGAAGGGTGGAAGAAACCAGGAACTGGCTCTGCGAGTGGCCTTGGAGCTGCACAGAGCTAGATCCACTGTGGAGGGAAGCTTTCTTAATAAATACGAAGTCATGTTTTTGAGTGGTGGAACTGATGGACAAGATGGGCCAACAGAGGCTGCTGGGGCCTTCTGCAGCCAGGATCTGGTGGAGGCGGCCGAGCAGGAAGGCTTTGATGTAGAAAACACGCTGGGTAATAATGATTCATACACGTTTTTCACCAAGTTCCAAAATGGACATCACCTTTTGATGACAGGCCTGACAGGCACAAATGTCATGGACATTCACACTGTTTTAATCAGAATCCGAAGAACTTGGTGATGCAACAGACATTTAGCTGTTTTTATTAAGAAGGAATCTGTGGACAACCTGAATGGAGTGTCTCTGTCCAGGCTGTTGATATCAAAGACCTAATGGAAGGTTACTGTGAGACAAGCGAGAGATGCTTTGTTGTCCTTATTTAGGCCAGGGAAACAGCTGCTTGAAACCATCACAATTAATTTTGATAATAGAACTTTGTTTTTAAATTATTTTAATCGATTTTCATAAGAGTTACAGTAATAGGGAAAATACATTTAAATGCCAGTACATTTAGAGGATAGTAATATAACAGAAATGGCTGTGAAGGCACAGCACAGCAATAAAAGTGATAATGGCTTTGTATATTTAAACAAATACTATTATATTGGAGCAGCCATGAAATTATACCAGAAAGGTATTGCCAGTTTAAACAAGGAATGACCTTTAGCAATATTCTGACAGATTATTTCAACAGTGCTAACTCCTGTACGAATCTCCAGACCTCTGCCTTTTTGCTGTAATATGCTTTAAAAGCTTGTGATTTAGGAAATCAAGAACACTCAAACATTTTTTCTGAGAAAGCAAAGTATAATAATATTAATATGGGGTTCAATCCAATGGAAGTTAGATACCACACCTATCATTAGAATTCCTGGGGGAGGAGGTGAGAAAGAAATCCAGAATCTACTAAGGAGGTTTTTTCTCTATAAGAGTTAAATCAGCGTATCATTATATAGAGTGGGCACAGTGAAGGTTAATGGTATTGTCTACATTGAGCCTTTGTGAAAGCACAGAGGAAATATGTTTTGTCTTGAGTATATTGCAACCATGATTCTTGTACCCAAAGCTACTGTATATTTTCATATAAACTTACCAGTACATAGTCTTCAGTAGTGTGAAGAATCCCTCTGGTCAGTTGTGAATAGACCAGGCAGAAAAAGAGGAGCTATTTTAAAGAGCCCTGTAGGAGGCTTATTCAGTCTTATTGGAGAATGCCATCAAGATGCCACCTTAATTTCTCCATCTTCTGTTGCCTAAGTTTGATTATGGACCCACATATTTTGAAACTGTACCCTTGTCAGATGTTAAAAATGAGTTTGTCTCATAGGGGGGCAGCTTCCCCCCCAACTTTCATGCATGTGATGTTATTCTCTTTCAGGCATCTAGAGGTACATGGTGTATGTCTGTAGAGTGGGGTTTTTTTGCTTGTATACTGTAGCTGTTCACTCAGAGGATTTCGTGCAAGCAGGAACCATGACAGGGCAAGGTGTTTGCTCACATGGGGTTCTTCATGCACATGGGAAGGCTTCCTCTCCTTCAGACTTCATGTACACAGAGACACCTCAGTAAGAGAATCAGACACGACATTGGGAGGAAAGACCGGTTTCATATAGAAGCAATATTGCCATAACATTGTAACTCTTTTCCCCATGGATTTGCTCTAGTTTCTGAAGCTAATGCAGTACAGCTTAACTTTTGTGTATCGTTCCAAAATAAAGCATTTTGTTTAAGAATGTTTATTAGATTCTGCCATGGGACTTCAGCGCATCTAGGCTAAATTCATACACCAGACGATTTTCTCCCACCATTATCTGAAAACTAATACTACAAAGGCTTCAGATCAGTAATCTCAAGTTTGCCTTAGCTATATACTCCTGGTTTCCCAACATGAAAAATCAGCTTGTCATTGTATGTTAACTCATCCTAGTGTGAACTGAGAGCTCCAAGTTTCCTTTGCTCAGCTATAGAGTCCACATCCAATCAGGCTGGAACTGAGAATCTAATTTCTATCAAATTCAGGCAGGATATGCATTTTCTTAACACCTGCTCTATTTCAGTATTAGCACCTGTTATTGGAAGAAGAGTCTGAAAAATAGGCTAGATGTGCTGAAACTAATGTAACCTCGACCTTGCTCACCTTTTGTAATGGCTTTTTCTTGCTGATTGATAATTTCATGGGGGAATACATTGTGCAGAATGGAAGCTGCAAACATTTTATGTATTATGTTACCATTGACTGGAAAACAATGGAGCCTCAGGTTTGTGACCTTTCTAACTGTATCAAGCCAGAAGTCACTGTCACTCTGATTAACTCCTCTAATCCCAGAGAACAAAGGCTAGAAAGCCTTACATGGGCAACTGTTGCCAATTTGCTGCATTGCAAAATGCAGTCTACTATCGGAGCATCATCACCAAGTTCATCTGTTTCCTTGGATAAGTTGAACAGAATCGAGTTTTGATCATATATGTAACATAATGACTTACGTGAAAGTCACCCGTTATGATTCTTCTGAGCGAAATATTGCTTTTTCTTCTCAACAGAACAGGTGAATTAGAATACCAATCCATTTTTAAACAAGTCCTATGGCATCTTAATGACTACAGTAAATTTAGTATTCCATAAGTTAACCATAACTTAGTTTTTAAGTTACTACAATACTCTATCCTTGTTTTGCAGCAAACTAAAATGGCCGCCCCCCCCCCGAACCCTTTCTTAAATATGTATACAGAATGATCTTATGGTCCTTGGGAACCATAGGCTTGATCAAATCTGCCCCTGCTTAAATTAAAAGGAGGAAATGTATATTTGATTCCCTCTCCCACTGACTCCACATTGGACTCTTCCTTAATCAAAACCTCCAATGGAAAACCCTCAAAGATTTGCCAGATCCTAAGTCTCCCTGGCTTTCCATTGGGCTGCCTAGTATCAATAACATTTAGACAAGCCCAAGAGTTCTTCCATCCAGCTGGATGCAGAGCTCTTTGCTGGTATATTAGTGTTTGGAATTCTGCTGCCAATGAACCTTTTTATTTTACTGAAATAAATGTAAAAATGCACAATGTAAAATGCTTAGAAAAACCTAGCCTTACTATATATTTTCAAAATACTACTTATTTGCCAATCAGTGTTTGCTGTCTCCTGTTGAATCACCTGTTTACTATATCACCAAATTTTTAACAAGGTGTAGTAAACTAGATTAGAGATTATTGCAGTGATTATCGCATTACTCAGCTGCCCTTTACCTGATCTTCTAGCTCCATGGAGCCCACGTATCTGAGACCAGAGGCTGCTCAGCTTAGAAAACAACCAGGTGGGAAATTCCATGGCAAAAATCCATGCGATCAGGCTTTGCTCACGTGATTTGGTGGCTGAAATCATTTCTCAAATATGAGAGAGCTGTTCATGAACAAATATCTTCCATCTAGCTGGCAACACTGGAAAGATGATCCCTCTTACACTTCATAGTAAACCACCCTCCACAGTTATTGGGTAATTTAAAATCCAAGAAGATGTGGAAAACCTATTCAAAATGAAACATACTCCTTTGGACCTTTTGGTCTTTAAAGGCAGTCTAGAAATAGTTTAGAGAGTTAATTTGTGTATCTTCTCCAAATATTACATTCTTGCACTTCGATCCAGAAATGAAAGATTAAAACATTGATTTTAACTATATTTACAAGATAATGTAGAAACTGCATCATTATTAACCGAAAGTTCAGGATACATAATCAAACCCATTTCAACTGGATTAGTGGTCTTGGGGTGTAGGGGATGCTAATTATGTGTCACCTGGTCTCCCATCAAGTTACCTAATGCAATACAGAGTATTCCTAGCAGGTACAAGTTACCTTACAATGTCTGGAATATTTCTGTAGTACAAAACAATCTTTGTTTCATGGTGTTACTGCATTTAGCTGCCAATGAATATATCACACTTCAAGCATTTAACAGCATACAAATGGTTAATGGCAAATGAGATGATTTTTTGCCAAAGTATAAGTGAAGAACTTTTGTGTTAAAGGACGAGGAATTAAGGATTTGTATTGCTAAAATCACTCAAGGATGAAAGCCTACTTATATCTGCCTTCCTGCACAGGTTTGAACCAATTTTGTGTCCCCGCCGTGTTTTCTGTATCCCCCACAGCAACAGCTTCAGGAAAAAAATAAAATAAAACAGTTTCTTTTATATCAGCAGAGTTCTTCATTAATCCTTGGAGATGCTGTTCATGCGTGATCTCAGGCTCATTCGCAAAGCCCTGGCAGCATCTACCTCTCCCGGGTAATCCCATTGCTCTTAAAATTGTGTGTGTGCTTGTGTGCGTGTGTAAAATGAATATTTCACTGATTATTAAAATAAACACCTTTTTCAAAAAAGCTGATAAAAAGAGCTAGATGAAAGGATGTTGCTGCTCAAAGCACACTTCATGTCAGTATTCACTTGGCTCTTCTCTCTGAATATATTTTTTCCCACTCTCCTTTCCTTTAATGAGGTGAAACTAGAAATGCGGAAAGTTGGTCAATGACAACAAAACTATAAGAACAGATTTTCTAAACAGGGTGTACACGCTTTGTGGCTCTTACTGTCATTGGAGGACCATGCAAGATGGAGAAAGAAAAACATACAGGACATAAGCAAATCAGAGCATTGTCTTGCTGCCACCGTAGAATGATCATAGGAAGGACTATGTGTAGGAGGATGCAGCTAGACTCCACTACTAATCCTTTCCATTCTTCTGATGCTGCTGATTAAACATCACTATGTAATTTTTCTATCACATCTTCTATGGATTCCTCTGCAAAGAAAAGCGGCCAAAGGTGGAGGCTTACAAATGCATTCTATGAATAAAGACATCTGCACAATGAAAGTAAAAGTCTGATCTGCAAGTACCTGTGCCAATAAAGCACAGTTTCATGTTTTCCTGAAACCACAGCACCACGTATCACCATTCACTAGTTGCTGGCCGGGAGTGTAGTACACATGGAAAGTCATTGGTTTAATTATTGTACTGCAGAACATAAGTAATTGTCAGACCCCACAGAATACTCATTTGTACCTGGTGATTTTATTCTACATGAAAGGAAGAAGAGGAAATGTGAATTAATCATTTTCGTTCATTTCAATAATGGTTTTGCTAGGGACTGGTTCTGCCAGAACCACAGGAACTCTATAAATATTAATCTAGTAGTAAAGGGTTAGTAGTTTAATTTTTATTTACCATCTGCAGTAATAGTGACTTAGAAGGCTCAGAGAGGAACATAATGGCAAGAATAGTAAAAAAGGCAGGTGTCAGAATAAGAGGACTTAAACATAGCACCAGGAGATTATAGCACTCTATCTTTTGTGTTGATGGCCATATGAACATTTCTTGATCTAAATGGGATATACTTCCATAAGTAGTTCTACGCATTATAATCTACAGTACCTTGTTCCAAAATAGCCAAGGCAGGGAAAAGATAGGCAAGTCTCTGTGGTCAGTTTGTTCATTATCTCAGCAAGTAGTGTAGAAGGAAGATAGCAAAAGGGTGGCAGGTCTTCTGTGGTTCTGGTGTTTAGCATTCCAAAATATTCTTGCAACATTTCTCCATTTTTTTTTTTTTTTTTGAGAAACAGGAGCAGTATGACATAGCATGCTTCCTAAACCCAGATGAGTGCTGTATTAATTGAAGTCCAGTACATCTGGAGAGCCCCAGGGTGAGAATCACTTCGATAGATCTCTATTTACCTGTTATTGACTGATTCCAAAGCAGGGTGGCACCTGCTTAGTGTTTGGGACAGGAAAACAGCAGAAACACCCAGAGCAAAACTGGAAAGTTGAGAAAACATTTAGGAAGAAAGCAATGCCAATCACATCCATATTGCTGCCAAGAACATTACATGGATATATTGATGGAGTTACCAGGATTCAGGGTCAATTTTCATATACACGTATATTGCACATGTCATGCAGGCAGTTCTGTAAGGTTTGGTAAAAGTTCCAAAATCTGCAAAAATGCTTCAACTGGAGAACAATAGTAGCACTCTCTTCTGTCACCTGCAGTGCTTCAATCTTTAACCAAAATCTTCACACTGTTAAAGATCCCCCAGGAGGAAAAAATACTCTGCTAAAAGTTTTAAAGCTGATTTTACCCTTTGAAAGTGCGGAATGATTTAAAAAACAAAACAAAAAACGGTTAAAAGGCAGTTGTGTTTTTGCTTGACTTTGATAATGTTAGGTGAGACAGGTCAGTCAAGTGTTGTGCAGAGACTGACAGTTTATGTTCTCGAAGTATTATCTCTGTGGAAGGATGGATGCTGTAACGCCATCAAGGCCAAACGAGAAAACAAAGCAATGGCTTGAATGGCACTGTCTGTTGGGCAGAATGAGAGAGACACTGATTCCACCGGGCAGGATAGAGCCAGATGGGAAGAGGATCAACAGCACAACAGCTGGCACTTTCTCAGGGCTGAGCTCATTTACGTAAGTGGAACACTTGTGGCCAAACAGTGCTAATGGCTGAGGATAAGTAACTACCTTATTAACAGTGGAAGCTTTTGGCACTAAATTAAAAATCTTGGCTTCTAGCCTTTCCACTGCTCTGGACTCTTAGGAGACATTAATATCCCTTCTCCCCAGCATTCTTATTATCGCTTCATTAAGGATCAGATAATGATATGTATGGTAGTTTATTCTGCCCAGATTCTGATTAATGGCTAATGTTTCACAAGGTGTTAATGGGTGCTTTATGAAGTGAGCAGAAGGGGTTCTCCAATAATCTCTTTCACAAACTAATTTTGCCATTTTCACTAACATGACAGATTTAACACATTCTTTATAAAAGCCCCTGATGGTTCCTCAGAAACTTGTGGAAAGATGATATAACCGCAGTAATACTCCTGCCACAACATCCTGTTCTGCTTTCCGCTAAACCCCAACTCACAAAAAGCCAAGGGTACCACTCGGCTGCAGATAGAACTATTTGTCATTGGCTTCTTTATCAGGCAGGATCGATGGCAGGGCACGTCTTCACCCTGTTCTAAAAAGAACAGCTCCCCCTCAGAAGAACTGCCTTTGACCTCAACTTTTCATATAGGAAACAACTTAGCTCACTGTTGAATATAAGCAGACACCAAAGGAAGGTGCATAAAAGCATAGCCATTCTTCTCCAGCCATCACGGTAAATAGCACCGAGATATTTTAAAATAGAAAGTAGCATGCACATATTTTAAATAAGGGTGAATAAATACATATAAATAAATAAAACAGCCTCTGGAAAGTATTTCTGCCATTATTCGTGCTTTTCTTTTCTTCAAATGATGGTGGAGAACCACTTCAGAAAGCTGCCTAGATGCAGATGCTTGAAAATACTGCCCTAGGCATGTTTTCTGTAGTTAAGGATGAACTACCTAAAGCACCCTGCGTAGATGGTCACATGTGAGAGAACCTGAAGAAAATAGGGCGAAGGAAGGAAGGAAGGATCTCTCCTTTGAAAGGCTAACACAGAGCAAAAGGTTCACTGTTCCCACCAGTCCTGGATAATTATTAACAGTATCTGATTTCTTCTTGGTTTTAAATGATGGCCAGGTAATTTACTGAGAGTCAGAAATAATTCTGACATGGATGAGATCATGCACTTGTGAGGAGCTCTTCTCAAGCCGAATAAGGTGTTAACAATCATTGGTTCTTTGTTTTAGTTTTACAACTGTTGCAACAGAAAACACTGAAGCCTCAACTGTTTTCTGAAGGACAGGTTGCATACTAAAATCCCATACTATCTAACCATAACTCAGATTGATGACATTCTTATATTATCATCCAAGAATTTTGGGTGTTTTAGGGATTTGGACTCTCATAGTTCATAGCTAAGTAGTAGAGGTGAGCAAATTTTTTTTTCTTTAAATTCAGTATAAACTCCTGTGTTTCTGCACTTCTGCTGAACCATTTCAGGTCAGATGCAGAAACAAAATCTGGAAGGAGGAGGGCAAGGCCCCTTTCCAGCTGCCAATGCAACGTATCCTACCAGCCTGCCCCCAATGTTCCCTGCACCTTCTGTTCCCATCTTCCCCTCAGCTGCCCCACTCAGTGTAGCATCTCATTCTGACTCAGCCACCCCCAATTTTCTCAGCCCTTCTCTTTCCCACCCTCTGTTCAGCTGCAGCCACTGCCCTGTGCCCTTGTCCTTCTGCAAGGAAAGGCCAGGCTGCCTGTGCATCACCTCCCATTGGCCTGTTCACCCTTGAAGCTTCCCAGTACCTCCTCCCCACCTTTCCCTAGGAGCAGCCAATGTGCTTGGTTTTCCCCACTCCCTCCCACCTAAACCCTCTTTGCCTGGACCCAAACAGCCTGATTAGTGCATGGATCCCCTAAAAGTAGTTGTCCTGTGCTTTTAGAACAGTTCAAACCTCTCATAGTTTGCACATCCCTACTAGGTAGTGCATGCTTTCAGCATAATCCCACAACAGAAAAGAAGCAAGCCACATGCAATGATATTCAGTCAATTCTGCATGCTATGTGAAGAGTCAGATTGTCTAAAACATACACCCTGCCAGTAGCCTTATTTAGCAAGAGGCTTTGCTTACTATGGGGAAAGAGAAGGAAAAATGGTCACTGATTTAGAGGAGCAGGTGAAAGCAGGGTACAGCAGCAGATATTAATGGCGACAGTTCTCTCCCCTGTTTATGAAGGACATGTTCTTCCACTGAACAAGGCTTTTAAAGATGAACATCCTCTGTTGCAAGTCCCCAGTGTATTGCATGGCTTCAATCCCTATATGAAATTAGCAATATAATCACATAGGAATAAAAAGCCATAGAAGACAATGGGATAAATGGTGTATCCATTATCCTGCTTAGCAAATTTGCTGTATTTCTTCACCACTGCCTCTGTCTCCTCTTCTTTTCCCCATACATATTTTCATGTCACAGCCTTCTTATTCAGCACTCAGAGAACAGACCAAGATTTGGGCTGAACCAAAGGCATCAGGCGTCCTAGGACTAGTGCTGAGTTGGGTTAAAGAAGAGAAGGTTAAGGAAGGAAATGTGCTATGTTGGGCTTGGATAAAGAGAAAGCAGAAAAGAAGTAAATGAAACATGAAAATGGAAACAGTCTTGCTTCTAAGCTTTTATCTCTGCCTGTAGACTATTCATACTATTGATGTTTATATTTTCATTATTCATTTGACATTCTTTTGG